AGAGAGAGAGAGAGAGAGAGAGAGAGAGAGAGAGAGAGAGAGAGAGAGAGAGAGAGAGAGAGAGGGCATAAGGGCAATGGCGGCGGCGCTCACGGTTGTCGCAGCGGCCGGAAGTTTGCGCCAGGCCTGACGTCGGGTCTGGACGGGTACCGGTCGCCCGTCCAGGTGGTCGGTGCCTCCGAAACCCTGCCACGGATGACCGTAGGTCCGAGGGTCGGCCGACACGCTGGTGGACACCGTTGCCTTGTGCCGGTAACGTTTCCCGTTCCAGCGTGCCTCCGATGGACCGGAAACAGACCCAGATCCGGCCGCTATCGCAATTTCCCCGTATTTTTTTTTTGTTTTTTCCAGGAATAGGGTACATCCGAAGTCTGCGGGGAAAATGGGAAAACTGCCAGTTTTCCCTAATTCCCCAACACTGGCAGAGGTACTAGTGGTTTAACAGGGGCCCAGTGCCCAAGTCTCATTTTATCAAATGAAATACAATGCCAAGACACACCTGGAAGAGCCTCAGTTGTACGGTTGCATGGTTGTACAAATTGAACGAGTCACAGAGAACAATCCTTTCAGACCCACTACTGCGTCAGGCAAACCTCCCATCAGGTAGGGGCATAACGAAAATGGTCAGAGGGACGCTACAGGGTGAATCGGACGTGGGAGGGGCGTGACGCAAAATAATGGAAATTACAGGGGCGCCAGACAAAGTGTTCCCAAATTTTGTTATGTGCTTTTTATAAAAAATAATAAAAAATCCAGCGGCCTAGCTCAGTTGGTAAGGCACGCAAGGCATTCAGGAGGTCCTGGGTTCAATCCCCATTGCCTCGTGTACCTTCCTGGGCATGCTTGGCGCCCGCCACCTAGAGATAGCCCGTTTGTCCCCCGCAAATTGAATTGGCATTAAAAAAAAAAACCTTCTCTGCTGATGTTCATAGGGGGAGGGGTAATCGGGGAGGCACAGCGACTGGCCACTCAGATGATGCTCGGTCCCTCCGCTACCTGCTGTCCCCCACTCGGGGTTCCCTGAAGGCAATAAGGCCGCCCTCTGTCAGATTATTAGATGATAATACCTCAAGACCATCGACAAAAGAGAAAAAAAAAAGAAGAAAAATTACAATAGAAAAGGGAAAAGAAATTGTGATGTGAGTTTTTTCCTGCAGGAAAATCAGGAGGATCCACTGTGCCGAGATCGGGTGTGGGAAATTGGGAGTGAGGGGGACTCGTGGGGGCGGGTGGCGTATGCCGGCGGTAGCGATGGCACTGCAGATCAACGCAGTGTGAGGAAGTAGGAGGAAAGCCTCGAACCATCGCCTTGGTCGACCAGCGCGAAGGCAGCATCGCGGCTGCATCGGTGGCCGCCATGGATCCTCCTGACGAGGTCGGTGGTGACGATGAGGGATGGCAGGTGGTGGCCAAGAAGTGCAAGAGGGCGGGGAAGGGCGGCGGAGAGAAACATAGAGTGCGCGAGCGAGATAGGGGTGATCGGAGGAGGAGGGGGAGCGCAGGCAGCGCCGGGCGTCGGGGCGGGATGAAGGAGGTGGAGGGGAAGGATGCTGGCGAAGATGCGCCGTCATCAGCCGGCCACGGGCGGAGGAAAAGGAAGCGCAAGTCCTGCGGGGATTTGCCGACGATGCCCGCGGCGCAGTCTCCAGGTGCCTTGTCGGGACAGGGACAACCCCCAGCAGCGGGGGAACTGGGGATGCCGATCCCGATCCCGAACAGCGCAAAGGCGGGAAAGAAACTGGCAACACCACAACGTCGGGAGGTGGAGGATGAGGAGGCCGCGGGTGCCCATCGAGTGTGGGAGGTGGTGGAAAAACCTTTGGCGGCGGCAGTGCTCTCCATCTCCCGCGCTATGTCCCAGCTGCCGGATGCGCAGGATTTTCATTTCTACAACTTGTTTCCCGCCTTTAAGGGTCCCGTGGAGGAAGCAGCCCACTTGGCTCGTCGGATGTTGAAACGTTTCGGCACGGATGATTGGACCGATGATGTGGAGGATCTAGGGGGGTGGTTGGCGGCAGTGCAGGACAACTTGTTGGAGAAAGTGGACACAGCAATTGATGAGCACGAAGGGCGGGCAGCGACGGACGGGCTGCTGCCGCGTGGCGGCGGAGCTAATCGGCATGGCAGCCGGGGTCGGGACAGGAGTCGGGGTCGGGACAGAAACCGCGGAAAGAGTGTCGGGGCTCCGCAGCGACAAGGAGGTCAAGGGGGAGGGGGAGGGGGAGGGGGAGGAGAGGGGAACAGAGTGACAATGGGACACAGAGAGTGGAGGGCGGGAAAAGGCGGCGGCCGGGGGGGCGGCGGGAAGCACCAAGAAATGTTGCAGATGCAATTGGATTGGATCCCCCGCCCTCAGGACAAGTTCGATGAACCTGTCGATAATTCGAACGCGCCTTTTTGCCCGCGCCCGTGGTGGGTTAAACAGGGGGTCGGGAAGCCGCCGCCGCCGGCTATGGCGCAGTCCCCGCCGCCTGCCGCTTCCGCCCGTGCAGTCGCTCCGCCTACCTCTTCTGCGCGGTCCCCCTTTTCCCCGGGTACGTCCGCGCGAGGCGGCGCAGGCGCTAGGGCAGAGAGAGTTGGGTCGGCGCTCGATCTCCATGCGTCCCGACTGGGTGCTGTTAAAGGACCGGCAGGAAAAACTCCCAGCCATATTTACCAGCATCCTGTGCAGGTTTGCATGCTGTCTTTTTTTTTTTTTTTTTTTTTTTTTTTTTTTCCGTTTCAATTTTCAAACTCGTGCCATGAGGCCAGTGCCATTTTTTTTTTATTTTTTTTTTTTGCCTTTGTGAACACTCAGAACCTCCTCTTTTTTTTTTTTTTTTTTTTTTTTTTTTTGTCCTCTGGTCCCTCAACCTCTCCACATTGAAATTGAAATGGATGGATGTCGCCTCCCCCCTCGGATTTTACCTCATTAATGAGTGAAGTTCCTTCCCCCCCCCCCTCCTAAAGGGGGTTCAGTTGTGTGCATTTGGTCACGCGAAACAGGGAATGAGACCGTGGCAATTTGTGTGGACAAAATCGACTCTCACACCGAAATGTATCTGAGCATCCATCCATTTTGCGTTTAGTATTTTGCGTTTTTGCTGTTTGACTTGGTAGTAATTGTAGAAAAACCCCCTACCTTGTTCCCCCCGAATAGAGCGTACGGTCATTTTCGCTGCATCTGGACTGAAAGCTGAGCCAAACACGGCTATAATGACAGTAGTGGGGGGAAGACGGTAGTTAATTGGAGATCTTGTGTCCGTCCTTCTCGTCAATGTGATCCATCGTCGTCTTTGTTGTGTTTTTTTGTTGGGTGGATTGCATCCATTGCTTGTGTTAGGATTGGTTGGTTGGGTTGATTGATTGGATCGATCGCTGGGTTGATTGCTTAATTGATTGATTGATTGATTGATGGGTTGATTGATTGATTGATTTGATTGATTGATTGATTGATGGGTTGATTGATTGATCGGTTGGTTGTTTGCTTGGTTGATTGCTTGATTGGTGATTGAATGGTGGATTGATTGATGGGTTGATGAAATTTGATCGGTTGATGAAAATTGATGGGTCGATGATCGATGGGTTGACTAATTGAAGGTTTGATGGATTGATGGTTTGACTGAAATTGATGGGTTGACGATTGGTGGGTTGATTGATGGAAGGGTTTATGGATTGCTGGGTGGATTGAGGGATGAGTTGATTGATTGATGGGTTCATTGATTGGCATTGACGCGTTGGGTGATTGATGCGCGGATTGATCTAATTGATTGATGGTTCGATTGATGAATGGGTGCACCGAAGATCATCCATCAAGGGATGGATGGATCGGATTAGTCGAGGTTAACGCCATAGATGGACATCACCTGCCGACCTTCGCCAGTTGATTGAAGGTTTGATGGGCCGATGGATGGATCCGCTGCATTGGCGGTCTCCATCCATATTGAATCCGGTGAATACAATAGATAGATATCCATTTATCTCTTCGTTCGTGTAGCTTGTAGTAGTGGAGGAATAATTGCCAATCAACCATCCATCCACCTGTTGAATAGGGAGCAGTTGATGCGATTCATCCGATCTAATCTACTGTATTAGATCGGATGAATCGCACCAAGTGCTCCCTATTCAACAGGTGGATGGATGGTTGATTGATTGGTTGATTGATTGATTGATAGATAGATAGATTGGTAGATCGGATGAATCGCATCAACTACTACAAGCTACAAGAACGAAAAGATAGATTGATAGATACATACATACATACATACATACATACATACATTGATAGATACATTGATAGATACATTGATTGCTAGATTGATAGATTATTTGATTGATTGATTGATTGATTGATGGATGGATATGTAGATTTATAGATTGCTAGATTGCTTGCTTGCTTGCTTGATTGATTGATTTGATGGACTTGTGCACCATTCATCCGATTATAGAATGGATCACCTGCGGTCCCGTGCATGGGACGGATGAGTGTGAATTGGAGCTATTGCGGTCCGTCCCCCAGTGGATGGATGGATGGATGGATTGGATTGGATATCTTGCGTTTGCAATAGATCACTTGTTAGTACACATACACGTGCACATGCACATCCCTCAGTGGATGCATGGATGGATGGATGGGTGAATGGATTGGATAAGATGCACATGCGCCAGAAGAAAACGAAAAAGAAAAGGAAAAATCACGCCCATTCGCACAGATGGATCGGAATGGAGATACGTAGAATGGTCTGTTATCAGTATAGTAATATCGTAAAAAAGATGGCCTGCTCAAAGGATAGCATGATCAGATAGCAGAGGGGCCAGGGGGTAACAGAACAGGATTGAATGGTAAAATACTAAATGGTTAAAAATTGAAGTCAGATTGCTGGATGGATAGCACTGGGAGTTGATGAAGAGAGTTGCGCGATCTGTGTGTGTGTGTGTGTGTGTGTGTGTGTGTGTGTGTGTGTG